CGGATAATGCCTCTGTAGACTGACGTCGCAGAGCTTGGTGTAAATTGCTGGTTAGCATAGCATCGGTTATCATGACTCAACTTCGTTACCAATATATTAATATCTCATAACGTGACAGTCAAACGACCCGAAATGTACCCACGCCCGATTTGCAGCAATCTCCCCACAAACGAAAAGACTCGCGTGACTTCCGGAGTTCTTGGTGTCAGGCAAATCAACATTTATTGGCCGCTAGCGAAAGACGTCATGTCGTCCATCCACCCACAGTGTAACTCACCCATGCACGCATATCGGTATTGAGCAATGGCAGTAACAAGCCGTAGTCATCCCGTGCTCTTAGGGCATCACAGACATCCATAATGGAAGCTGTAAGAATGACAAAACGAACAGCGCAGTCTCAATACTGCGTACTTGTCAATTGTGAATGTTTTCCCAGGAGGAGTCCACACAGAGTTGAGAACCTTGGTTGTGTCTATGCCGTCGGAATGCCGTCTTTCCATATCTTTTCGATCGTCACTTTTGCACCGTCTCTTATTCGGACCATTTCGAAGAAAACGTAAGAGTAGTAATGTTTTCCGCTCGTGTTTCCAGCCAGGGGCCCAGTCTTGGCAAGGAAGCTGTTTAGTAAGCTTCGACTTTGTCCGGCAATGGCTTGCAAAAACGCCTTCCTCGTTACGCCCCGATCCTTCAACAAGGTCCTTATTTTGTCTCGAACCATGTCACAAGTGTCGAAGACTTTCACAGACCTAGTTTCTTCTCCTTCAAGCCTTATTTTTGAGACGTCAAGAACTTTCGGAATAGGAAATCTCTTGGATCTCCCGGCAGAAGCATTAGGCGATACGGAATTGCTGCTGGTATCGCCGACATGAATTACGTCTAGCTGGGATGCGATTGTCAAGGAGTTGTGCCAGACTTGTATTTAACGACTGCAATTATGGACGGGACAGGGTATGCGTTGACAGAGAATATGTTTTGTAGTGCGCGTCCAGGGGACTTATTGCATCTACACGAGAATTTTAAAGCCGTTGGTTCTCATTACAGTGTAAATATTTACAGTATTTAAGTATTTTCGCAAAAGCTGAAATCGTTAGTTACATACTTACTGGTTGCATGGTCCGCAATGTTATGCTGATCTGTAGTTAATTGGACTGCACTGTCACCTGTTGTTGCGACTGCGTATTGCAACGAGGTGGACAACCGTGGAGCGGCGTGAGCCCTTCGGCGTTACTTGTACGTATGGCGTAATTATGAGATGTGCCTAATTTAACCAACTCACACAGGTCAACAATCTCGCAGTACTGTGCTGCGGTAAAGACGTCATCTAAATATTTTCTTTCTTAATTATTAGTAACGAAATGTTTTTTGCTGTATTTAAATATGTATTTAAATATGTATTTATTCACTTCACTTCACTTCACTTCACTTTTATTGCGCCCGGTGGAGAAACTCCAAAAAGGGCGACTATAAACCCATAGCATGTGTACAGTCTGAAGTTTAGCTTTTGTATCATTAAAGCCCATGAGTCCTTGTTATCCAGCTTTTGCTTTCACAATCTGTTCTCTCGCCTCGCTACGGTTTTATTTACAATAAATACTGTACTGTAAAATATGAATTTATCTAGGCTCTAAGGAACAGGCAAGAACCACTTTCATCCTCGTACTAATACATAGCCGCATGTGAGAAATCTTGGGCGACGTACCAAATTGGAATCACCAAGCCGTCTGTGAGAACGTGCGGGTCGAGATGCGTTACCTCCAGCACCTGACCGTTTCAGTGTTGATTCCAAAATAAGTGGAATAACTATATTTATTATAAAATGCAGCGTTGATATTGTAGTATGTATTTAAATATGTGAGTATTATAAAATACGTTGGTCTGCGTCGTCGTTTTTTGAGTCTTGTTTGCTCACAATGCGTGGCCATAAGATCGAGTGATTCCCAGCAGCGTATCCAATGCGCCCGTTCAACTGCTTTAGCTTCCTCTCTGTCGCCAGCGCGACCATTGCGTGCTGCGCGGAGATTGAGGAGCGACGAAGCGGAATCTTTGGCGGTGAAATGATTGCTACAAACAGCTTCTTTCGCGGACAACATGGTGCTGATCCACTGACTTCGAGGGGTGATCTTGCGCAGGAAGCACAAGGCTGGGCTAACACTTGCAACTGGTTTCACGACGTAATCCATCCGCCCCGTCACATATCCCCTCCCATCAATGCCCTCGCAGCTACACAATATGATATACTAACAACCATCAGCAGAGTGTTGGGGAGAACCTCGCCAGCAGCTCCGGCTTCACCAGCTGGGGTGCTTTCGTCAACATCTGGGGATCTGAGCGGAAGAAGTACGACTGGAACGCGGCCAGTTTCTCGGTGCACACCGGCCACTTCACACAGGTAGTGTGGAGGAATTGCAGATCCGTGGGCTGTGGGTGGAAGAAGTGCGGCGGCGGCCAAGGCAAGGCCAAGGGGTTCTATGTCGTGTGCAAGTATGATCCTACTGGCAACTACCAGGGCCAGCTCCGTCAAAATGTGGGCAAGCAGATTACGGGTCAGCTTACTGACGAATGGCAACCCAGAGGATCAAACTGAGTGGAGGCAAGAAGTTCATAGAGCCTTCCCGGATGGCACGAGGCTCACTCTCTCAGTAAAACGATGTCCTTGTAGAATAAAACGACTGTATTTAGTTGAGGCGGAAGCATTGGTATGTGGAAAGTTCCGGATTAAGTCGAAGCGTTGAATCCAATCACACGAAACCAACGCGTCCTGTCCCCATACCTATGAGCTCTGTTGCAAGTATATTCGGTGTCCATATCGAAATAGATAAGTGCAAATTTCCCATAGTGTAAATGTCTCGGTGGGTCAGAAAAATATTAAAATTATGGTTAATATCACTCGTATTCTTGTGACCCGACAGTCAGTATTTGGTCACACATTCTTGCGGCGGTTTATGTGACGGTACAAGGGCACGAGCAATTCAAGTGCGACTTTGGATAATGCGATTGTTCACAAGGAGAGTAAGAGCTTCCGAAGGAAGTTCTGACTCGAGCTATCTAAGTCCTAAAGTAGGGCCGTTCCCTTACAGTTTACTTCATTCGGGAGCTCACCGGCCTCCTTTCGTTTCGGTATGCAGCCCTCAACAGCAATACTTTGGGTCACGTCAACGATCCCTCCGACCTCGCCGCTGTATCCATATACTCTCCTGGCGTGGCGGTTTGCTTTTCTCTCTGCAGCCTTTCGCGTGTTCTCCGATCGCAGTCATGCCCTCCATCGATTCAGCCACAACATCAACCACGCGGGCATTGTCTTCGTGATGTGGCGCACAAGCATTCTACCACACACTCTGCACTCCGCTGTGCCTCTCCAGCTCTCGGATTAGCCTGCTTTGTTTCTCTGTCGATTACTGTGGGCCACTACGTCGTGCTGGCCTTGCGGCCATGCTTGCACCTGCCTCGGTTCCGCTTACTGAGGGCCCTCGTGTACTGCTTTCTCGCGTTGCTTTTTTGCCCCGCTCCATCCGGCATGGGAATCACTCGGGTCACTCAAGTTGCTGGATCAAGTTGTAGGACTGCGGTCTTTCATCACCCTGGCGTCACCAGACTGTGGGGACCGTCGGATGTGCACAGAACGATGAACTGTGGATGGAAGCATGACAGCATATTGTGAAAGCGCGTCGCGATGATGCTGTGCATCTTACCGGCATTGTCCTGACTCACACATGGCGAGTAGATAGGCGTTTCTGGATACAGACGCTCGTGCTGGGCGGGATGATTCCGCATTAGAAATGTTATACGTCTGACTCTCTTATCGTGCGGCCCCAGCCAGGTGTCTTTAGCTGGCTGGCTGTTCAACGGAGTGAGTGTGACGGTACAAGGGCACGAGCAAGGTCGAGTGCGACTTGGATAAAGCGATTGTTTACTGTACAAGGAGAGTAAGAGCTTCCGAAGGAAGCTCCGACTCGAGCTAAGTTCCTAATGTGGGGCCGTTCCCAGCGAAGAATGAGCCGGGGCTAAATGGGTCGTTGTATGTTATTGTGTTGTTAAATATGTGCACACAGTAAGTATTTACATACCCACTATTTAGCTATTGAACGCTTTGTTAAATGCGGCTTCAAGCTGCACTCACGGAAGAGTTGTACAGTCTCCTATACTAGCAAGGGTACTTATCGAAATGCAACCTTGGATGTTAGGGTCCTGACGTGGCGACATACTATAACTAGTTATTAACAAACGGTTTTGTAACTACAGTATTTATGTACAATAGCCATGACTAAATACATAAATAATATCGAATAGCCCATGGCGTTCATGAAATCACAACAGTCAAACATCATTTGCTATTCAAAGATCTAAGTCACAGAGTTTATTGCATCCTAGAAAACACAAAAACACTTCCCTTTGTACAAGGGCTTCTTCCAAGTCACAGTTGCTTGACCGCCGACGGGTGCCATGGCCCATATCAATGCTCCTCCGGAGTCCGCTGCCGGTGATGAACAAGAAAAACGACGTCGTGGCAAGGCAGGCTTCATTGGTTCAGAAGCCGGCCGAGTTGACGCATTACATTTGCGAAAACTCGTCTGGTTTCACGAAGTTGTTCAGTATCCTCTACAAGCATTAGTGCAAGTACAACGCGTTGACTGCAGGGAGCATTTCATCTCCCGTCAAAGTAAACGCCAGAGATCAACATGGCCGAACTGCTTTACATGTCGCTGCGGAAAAGGGAGTCGTGACAGTAGCAGGGGCCCCTCCTCGATTTCCACATGTCAACAAAGATATCGACGACGGCAACTTTAACCACCTGCGCCTGATAGAGCTGCTGCTGAGAGAGGAGGCCCAGCATCACAAAGCTCTTGGTCTCGCGGTGAAGACTGGGTCTCGTTAAATAGCTGGTTCGTATGGATCACATCGACGTTGACGAAACAAAAATGGCCACTGGCTCACGCTTGCTGAGAGCCGTCAAATAAGGCTGAGCGACAATACTTGGAGAGCTTCTGCTGCGGCAAGACATAAGGACGGAACTCTGAGATCGCCGGGATCTCTGGACACCATTTTTGTACGCAGCCTCCCGTTGCCAGTCGACCGTCATGGCCGCACTTGCATGCATTATGCCGTCCAACACAACTAGGGCACGTAAAAGTTGTCGAATCATTGATGCAGAGAGGGTGCGATTGCCAGCTGACCGACAGCACCGGAGCGACCCCGATAGGTCTCGCAGTCAAGGCAAAAAGCAATATCCTGGTAGGGATGATGCTCCGTGATACTGTATCCCTCGACTACCACACTCTTCTTATTGTTGCTGCGGAATATAACAATGATTGGGTCACAGAGAAGGCTCACAACCCTGTTAGTCCGAACATCACACACCGCGGGACTGTCCCGCCGCTTCTGCCGACGAAGCCCGCATTTGTTCAATTCCTACTTGCCGACCCACGGACTGACCTGGATCAATGCAATCAATTCGGCAAGACGGCGCCAATATACGCGGTATGCAATAATTGGGTATCGGTAATGCGTGATATCGTTGCGAAGAAAATGGGCTCAACATCGACCACGTCGACAACAATCCTCAAACTGCCATTGCGTACACCGATAACCTAGAACACGCCAAAAAACACACACACACACACACAAAAGAGGTCATTTTCAGCCTTCTCCGTGGCTATCCGATAAAGAGATCACTACTGCGTCACACGTGGGCATAACTAGCGTCTTCCATGGAGCAGTTGACGGCACAGTTTGCCGAGGGACGTTGACAAACGGTTAAGACGTCACCTAGAGCTATCGCCTACGATGACCCCTGCAGATGCCAACTGGACCGGTATTCGCTTGTTCAAGATTGAAGCACAAATGTTGCTCATGTTGCTCAATGCTCGGTCAGCTTGCAAGGTGCCATGCCAGCATGCCATCTTTTGGTCATAGCTCCCGGCAGTCAGCTCCGCTGGTAGGCGGACTGTGGAGTGCCTCAACGGGAGTCGGCCCAGGTATGGCGGCGGCAGCCAACTTGCCTACCTACCTAGTAGGTCCTTGGGTAGGAAGAGATATCGGGGAACATCACTGACAGGGCTTTTCTCACGCACCTATAATAGACGACTTCTTCTAGTACAACACCGTTACCGCGAAGGGCGGGCCGACCGCGCTGAAATGTAAAGCGACGAAGATATTAATAACTGAACGATGATTGGCATCGAGGCCTTCCCAGAGGTGAGTGAAAACGATTGGAGAGAACAGAGTCATGGCTAACTGAACAAACTCGTAAAAAAATGTCCGAGGCAATGGATCACCGCCCGGGATACGGTTTCTTCCGATCCGGAGTCAGCTGGAGTTTTTTGATCTGGCTGTCCCATTGGCCATAGTTTCGAGAGAACTGGGCCAGTATCTTGAGAACAGTTCGCCAGGGTTAGAAGCAAATGTGATTGATTGAGCAAGGCGAAAGCCATAGGTGATTGCACTTCCTTGACTGCCATGATGCCGAAGCCCATGGCTAGGGAAATAAACATAGCTGACGGACGCCATAGACAAGGAAACCGACTGTAGGCCGATCTACGTATCTCTGCAGCCTCCTCATAGTGTAATTCTCACGTTGCATGCGGAATGGAGGGAGTGATGTCCTGGATGGGCTCGACTGTGCGATGGGTAAAATGGGGTTGCCTCGTGGTAGCAGCAGGCTCGCTCAACAAAGCTGCTTCCCTGATGTCGGCCGTGCCGTAGCGGGGCCCTTGCGCGACAGGGTTGGGAACCAGAAGTAGTCCAAGTGTGCAGCCTCACATTATTCCAGCACAACGCGAAGCCCTTAAGCATGTTTTTGGTGGACTTGCCCTAGCGTCTAGCGTGCAGTCTGGTGGGGAAGTCGTTCCATGGTCATGTTCACGTCGAGATATACCTTAACAGCCAGTGGTGTGGTTTAGTGTAACTTTGGTCGGCCATCGCGGGTTTGCGACGCATAGGAATTAAGTCTAGAGGAACGACCTAGTTACGTGTAATTTAATATGGGGCATGAAGCTAAATGCAATTCATAACAAATTCGGAGCCGTCCAAATTATGAAGTAGATCCGTGGTGGAAGTCTCGTCTATTGTTCCGGCCTAAGGGCTTCGAACCCAGAATGCGTTCGTTTCATGTTTAGTAAAGTATTTATTAATACGAGTCGATTTCTTCATATTAGTCTGGGCTAGCTAAAATTACACTACAGACTGTGGATACTAAATGGTCCGATTTAACTTATTGTTCTTTTCTGACCACATTGAGACATTGTTTGTCATCGGCCAAAATCCAAAATTCCAGTCGCTGTCTTTAGCGCCACAAAAGCTAGTTACCCATGGCACTGGGCTGGCAAAATGCCGTGAGATAATCTGGCAAACCTCCCAGTATGCATTGTGTTCTTGGCTACTACGTGAACCTTCGGGTTGGAGACATGCCCTTTGTTCCGGTAGGGGTGTTCGGGGTGTTCTAGCAGATGTTGTGTTCAACAGGCGTAAGCATGTGACATGCACTGGTTTATAGAGACTTTGATATGCCTCCCGACTGTGAAATCTACCTTTCACGCAGTACATACATACCTACGCAATATTTACATCATCATATGTATTACAATTAATAAATACTGTAGGTATTTACGTACGTTATTCAATATGCATGGCAGATTTTTGCCTAGTTTGAGTATTGCTCATATGACAAATCATCAAGTGCACCATGTGCTGCCAAATTTAAGCGCATTCGACACGCAAAACTACACCGGTTAGTATTAATACACGCAGCAATGATGTCTTGAAAGTTACCATGGCTATTTGTGAAGACGCTGCAGATGCAAAATACATATTGGTACAACGCCGCCTTGATGGCAAGGCTCAATACACACTACAAAGTAATTCTTTCAAGGAACCAACGGCGACCTTGCAAATTGTTTTCTAATAGCTAGCCCAATGAAAAGTACATCGGCCAGCTTCACCAGGCAATTCAAAATCTACAGCAGTCATTCGCAACGCGGCTATGACATCCAAGCAGATGACGGGAAATGGCTCCATGCAGAAATGGAATTTCAAGGACTCACCCCTCACAAGCTCACCCTTAGTGACCGTGGCGAGGATTCGGCACCCGTTGCCGTTTCCCACATGCCTTGGGTTTCTCGAAGGTTAATCCACGTCGGCTTCGCAGGTTCTGAGAAAACAAAGGAAATGGATTGGGAGAACATGGAAAAGGTGAAGAAGTTGCCATGGGAAGACCATAGCAGAGACGAATACCGTTGGACGACGCTTCTCCCAGAACAAGAGGCAGCTTTGCAACTCATGTGGATAAGCAGGGATACTGAAGGCATTCAACCATGGGGAATGGGCAGTCGGATCTACACACTTGTAGACACGCAGAGTAATGAGATTGTCGCTGAGTGTGTTAGAAACGGGAACTTATATGCCGGTGGGGTGTTGGAGTTTAACAAGTCGTGGAGGCGGCAGGCTGGTCATCAATTCCACCTCAACCTCAACTCCTTCAATATTATTGAAATTGAAGTCACGTGCATCAATTCAATCAACTCAACCTAGCCATCTAGTTGATGGACTCAATCCCACCTCGATGGCTTCAACGTTGACAACCGGTTGAAAATGTCTGGATTTTGCCTCGGTTCAGGGTAGCGGCCAATGCCCCACTAGGTCAGGCTGTTGGAGTCCTGTACCCAGTACATTCTAGTACATAATGAACCCACCTGGTCCGCTGTATCCAGTACTTCAGTACTTCAAACGCGTCTGTGTGTCGCGTGTGAGCCTTGTCCCAAAAAAAAACATTACCTTAGCGTCCCGCTGCGTCCGTTCTCAAGCGATGCTAATGGATGCAAAACCAGTAGTCAAGCGCCGCCGAACCTCAGTCCCGCCAATGCCTGCGTGTGAACGGCTGTTTCGCAGTA